AATATAATGGATTCTAATACATTTAACTGTTTTAAAAAGAATATTTTAAAAATTAAAAGGAAAATATTTCAAATCTAAATTGTCTAAAAGTATTGTAAAAAAAAAAAAATCTTTAATTTTAAAAGATGAATTTGAAAATTTTTGGTAGATGCTTAACAGTTTTTTTTTTTTTTTTTTTCTTCAGACGACATCCATTCAACCATGACGTCTTTTTTAATTGTAAAATATTTTGTATACCCCTACCAAATGTAATTTTATTAATGTTACAATGATTTCATTTTATAAGTTACACCCCGTTTTTTATTAGTAAATATTCTGTAAACTGTGGAAATGATTTTAGCTGTGTATTTGTGTTGGAAATTTATATATATATAAATATATATATATAAGATATATATATATATAATATATATAATTTATTTGCAAAAACAAAATTAGGGTTTTAGCTCTCTTTTGAAACATGGTTGGAACTATGTGACAAAATAACCATATTTTAAATCAATTAATTTAAATATATATATATATATATAAAAATTTTCCATATATTATTGACATTTTTTTTTTTTTTGTCACGAACAAGGTGTTTTTTTAGTTCTTTCTGTAAATATTCATTTCTTTTCCTCATTCATGACTAAACTTTCCCTGATACAGGTGGTGAAACCCAGGTTTTGTCTGGCTCACTTTTCTAGGTCTGCTCTCAGTTAAAAAGCTCTTTTGTTTTCAAAGTTGTATCATTGTATTCTTTTTTTGGGCTTGATGTTGCATCTGTGATATTTTTTTGTCGACTCAAGTTCATGTAGCTCTTTTTCTTTTTTTTAAAAGCCTTTTTTCCCTCGAGATTGATTTGATTAGCAAATCAAAAATTCAAGGGTTTTTTTCCAACGAGTCTAGTTATATATATATATATATATATATATATATATATATATATATATATATAAATTTATAATAGGATATTACATTGGAACATGTATAAAAGTGCTACAAAAATGCATTCATTTTTCAATGTGTATTATATCTCATCAGGTGGTAGTAAATGAGGATTATTACTCTAACACTTTCACCCAGCCCCTCAACCTCCGATGGCTTACTCTCTGGGTTGAGGTGTCTACTCTGTCCTAACTGAACTTAAGGGAGTGGCCGTGGGTCCCCTGAGCATCCATAGATTATTCGACTGGTCCACTGGTTTAATCCTGCTTCCTACCCACGTTGTTTCGTTTGATCCAGTAAACAGAAATGATGTTCATCTATTGACGGTCGACTGAAGATGTAGACACGGCTGGAGAGTCTGCACTAAGAAATTAAGAATTCAGCAAAAAAAAAAAAAAAAAATTAATATCTGCAGAAAGTCGGACAACCAACTATTCGATGATTGAATTGTTAATGTCTTTTATATAACAGAAAAGAATAGTATAGAAAAGAAAACGGGTTACAGAAAAGAAAAGTAATTGATGTAAAAAAGCATACACTGGATTCTGGACAGAGAGAGAGTGTGTTATGATTAACTTGTTAAATCATCTTGGAACGATATACGACTCTTGCGATGGGGGAATAAGATTTCTGTATGCAGCTTAAAGTTTATAGCAGCGTTCCTCCTTAGCAGTAGTAACATTAGCAGTAATATTTGTGGTAGCAGAAGCACCGGTACTTATATCCACAGTACATGTTAGCGGACGCTTCATTCCAATCTCTGACGTCACTTTCTCTCCTTCTTGAGTCTCCAACTCTACTCTCCACTGGCTCTAGCCCAATCTTGCCTAGGCTAATTCTCTTCCATCTCTGCCTCTTCCGTCTGTGTTTTTCAGCATAACTATGTATATATCTATATATATATATAGATAAACCAGGCTGGTTACAACTGACACTTGGCCCTACTACTTCGCACGCGATTATAACGGGGGTTCTGGCTGCTTCAACCAAAATCATGTGAATTTCAAAGTTCCTTCAAGCTTACTCAGCTCCATTTCAATTTTTAATCGATAAAAATTATCTCAACCACTTCCATTGTCTTCTGATCACTCAGATTTAATGGGTACAACTTCTGCCCTAGATCAAATTTCCTCATCAGTAAACAAAATGCTCTGATCTAATTTTGCTATTCAAATCTTTGCCCATTTCACTAAAAAAAAATGTGTGTTTCCCAAATTCTGTCACAATTACAATTATTAGAATTTACTTAAAAACAACCTCTTTTCTCATGAAAAAAGAAGAGAAAGAAAAACACAAACACGTCAGAGATTGGAATGAAGCGTCTGCTAACGTGTACTGTGGATATAAGTACCACTGTTTCTACAGAGAAAAGGAAGAGAAAAGGAAATAAAATGTAAGGAAAGTATAGAAATGTAAAGTAGCATGACACGTTATGCTGATAATCCATTGAGCCAATAAAAATGGTCTATGCTAAGTAAGATGTCATGAAACACATTTAAATTTCAACGAATACATATGTAATATTTGGTACAAAATTTTTGCTACAATGTTGACATTTTATCTGAAGAAGAAATGTCATTTAACAAAATTTTATAGTAGGTAAATAATGTCTCTTTAAGAAATATTTTTCTTGCCTTTTCCTTTTTTAAGAAAATAACAAACTGAAAATTAAAATATAATATTAAATGTAGTAAACAAACTTTTAGTATATAGATCATATGAAATAATAAAATATATAAATTATACTCAATGGAATGCAACTTTTAACTAAAGGGTTTTATATAAGATATTAATAAAACAAATCAATAGATAATGTAAAAATGTCAGCCAACCATATATACCTTTTAGATAAAAATTTTTTAAACCAATAATGTTAGAAGAATAATGTACAAACTATACTGCATTGAAAAAAGTCTAACTTACTAAAGATGTTTACTACAAGGTTATTCAACATATAAGAAGAAACGATTGTCAAATTTTAAAAGTTTAGCAACTTTGCAGGGTCAAAGGTAAAATATGTTTGCAATTGAGAGTTCAAATTTTTGATTTAATCTTCCCTATTTAAAAATCTAATTATCTGCATTTTCTCCTGTAAACACAGAAAATAAGGTTTGTATAAGGATCTACATGTCCTTGCCAATTTTTAAAATTTTCATTTAACTTTAGGGGTTATATTTTCTTTTTTCAACCTTAAAAAATATTTTGAAAGTGAAGTACTATTTCTATAAGTAGCATTAGTAAAAGAAGATAGGTGCTTATACCAATGATCTTTGAAAGTATTCTTGGTGCAGTCAATATAAAACTTTTCAGCCCTTGAATTTTCTGTTGTAGAGATAGAACACAGATACACAAGGGATTCAGTTAGGCATTTGTTAGACAATGGGCATTGGTTAGGATTCCTACAATTACATTTGCTACTGTCCTTAACAATATTAGCATTAGTACTTGCATTATGGTTAAAATTATTATATTGGTTAAGTGTTCTATTGTTGTGCAACTTTATTATTTTCTCAAGATTCTTAGTGCAACTATAACTAAGTTTTAATGTATTTCTATTAAAATTTTACTAAGAGGGGTTGCCTTTCAGAAAATGTTTGTCAATTAATTTAGAAACTTATGCTTTAACTTTGTACTAATTGGTTAAATGGAGGTGTGTACCAGATAATTTTCCTGTATCTATTTTTATTTTATTTTTTTTTTTTTTTGGACTATCATATTCTCTAAACTGAATTTCAGCAGATTTATATCCACTATTCCTAAAAACATATTTTAGTAAATGAGTGTTCACTAATCCTACATTCTACAGAGGAAGGAATATGTCAGATTACAGATGGTGGGTGATTGGAATTGGGATGGATATAATTTGTATTGCTATTGTTCTTCATATAAGGTTGAAAATTGTCATGGACTAGATCCAATGTTACATCTAGAAAATCAACTTGTTTGATATTAGTACTTATTTTCACCTTTAAGATCTAAATGTTTAAATTTCCTATGAATCATTTTTCTAAGTTTATCAACTTTAATTCTTATAGTTTTTTACAACCATGAGACCATCATCCCTATACAGCCCTATACTATCCAAAGTAATCTCTTCATAAACAGTAAGGTTGTAGAAAATATATAAATCAACCAAATCAGATTCCGCAGAATCCAATGATCTTTTACCCACTGTTCTTTATTGTGGATGAGGACAGATTTCCTACAATTCATGATGTTTATCTCTTCATTTGATATGTTGGAATTAACTTTGGCAAATTCTAATGCCATTGTAAAGAATATTGCTCTATTATTATTTATACTGTTCTGTATTGAGCCCTATTTTAAATTAATGTTATGAATGTTTGAATTTCTATTTGATCGCATATTTTGTGTGTGTGTATATATATATATATATATATATATATATATAAAAATATAACATGGTTGGCGAATAGTTTTTCATGGCCAAAATCATAATCTTAGTCCAATTTTAAGCAGGCAAATATATCTAAGTACTGGGTTTACATTGCTTTCTAAAATCATCCTGACAATAAGAGGATGCATTGTATAAAGAGAAATTGATCCTTTTATATCTTATGCACAAAGTCAGGGATAATATGCATAAAATTCAGCAGTAGCATTATATGTAAATATGGCACATAGAAACACACAATTGTAAGTGTTTTATGCACATATACAAAAGTAACTATATTTACATATCTACAAGTAAATATATAAACCTGATAGTGTGTCCTTTTAAAACTTCTATTTGAAGCACTGAATATTTCCTGTGATTATTTTGGCTTTTGTTTTTTTATTTTGTGTGCTTTCACTTCTTCACAACAAACAAGACACTGCTTTCATGTACGAAAAAGACAAATTGAGATAAGTAGCCTATTTTGCTGTTCTGACTTGAATGGATTGCTTTGATATCTTCAGTTCATTGCCTCTATCTTTTGTAATGGTTTCATCAGCATTTCTATGTAGTTCTCTTTGATTTTTCTGGATTTTGATATTCTCTCCTTATTTTCAAATCTCTTTGACTTTTACAAAAGGCTTCTCTCATTGACTCTTTTATGTTTCACTTTATGTCCGTTTCTCATTTTTCCTCATCTTACCCTTTTTACACTCACTTTCCTTCATCCCTTCCCCCTTCTTTTTTCCTTCCTCCCTTCCCACTTCTTTTTTCCTTCCTCCCTTCCCACTTCTTTTTTCCTTCCTCCCTTCCCACTTCTTTTTTCCTTCCTCCCTTCCCACTTCTTTCTATTCTTTCTCCCCCCTCTCCTCTCTTTCTCCCCCTCTCTTTCTCCCCCTCTCTTTCTCCCCCTCTCTTTCTCCCCCCTCTCTTTCTCCCCTCTCTCTCTCCTCTCTTTCTCCCCTCTCTCCCCCTCTCTTTCTCCTCTCTCCTCTCTTTCTCTCCTCTCTTTCTCTCCTCTCCTCCTCCCTCTCTCTCTCCTCTCCTCTCCCCTCTCCTTTCTCCCCCTCTCTCTCCCCTCTCTCCTCCTCTCCTCTCTCTTTCTCTCTCCTCTCTCTCCCTCCTCTCCTCTCTCCTCCTCTCCTCTCTCCTCCTCTCCTCTCCTCTCTCCTCTCTTTTCTTTCTCATCTCTTTGCTTTCTTCTTGCACATCCTTCTTTCTCTAGCCATCATGCTCTCTCTTTCTCTCAGTATTACTATCTTTACTTTCCCCATTAACTTTTTCTTTTTAGCTTTCTCTTTCAATGCTTTTTTCAACCCTTTTTTTCTTTATGACCCCCCCATTAACACCTTCTCTCTCTCTCTGCTCTGTTTAATAATTGCTGAGCCATTATCTTGGAAGCTGCTGCATGAGCCACAACCTTTCCTGACCTTCTGCTCTCTTCCTAACTTGACATTTGAAAGCTGCCAGACAATCTCCCTAAGTGGTCTGTATTCTAGTATCACTGTATTTTTCACCATGATGCCACCCTCCTAACTTAAACCATTCTCTTTATCCACCCTTCCTACCTTTGCTTCCAAAAATCACCACAACCATTTTATATTCCTTCAGGGTTCACTTTTTCCTTTCTTCACTAAAAGGAAAAGCAATATCTACACTGTCAGCCTTAGCCACTTATGAGAATATAGTTTCCTTAACCTCAAGAAATCCTTCCAAATATTCATCCTCATATTAGGGAAGAGCACAAGAGGAATAGAAGGGGCAGATTCTCATGATAATCTATTATTTATGAGGTCATCAACTCCTGTCAAAGCTGACTTGGTAGGGGTAGAATGTTTTTGCTGTTGCTACCAGGCAAGTAAGCTAGTTATGGGAAAGTGATTTGGCACAAATAGTCCTCACCCACTCTCTTCTCTGCTACAAGACATTTTGAGATATCTAAGGAGATAAATTTTTTTAATTTTTTATTTGTAATTATATTACCTCAAGCAAAGTGATAAAGCTATTAAAATGCAAGGAGTTACCAAGTGTGAAAGTATCTTAAATAGAAATCCTTAAGGAGAGAAGACAAAGAAATTGAACAGGAATTAAGGAGACAGATGATGATGACGACTGACATTATATTTAGAATTTTGAAAATCAGAGTTGATTGGAAAGCAATAAACCAGATGAGTTTCACAGGCAGGAAGTGTAAGAGGAAAAAAATGGTATCTCGATATAACCATAAGTTCAATACTATTTCAGCTGTAAAAGGATGAGATCTAGCTGTATGGAAAAGTGGGGTTTCTGTATTGGTATCTGTTACACCACTTTTTGTGTGTGTGTATATAATATGCTGAATTTAATGATCTAACTCCCTGATAAGTGGATATCATCTACAAAACTAAAAGTTGGTTAGATAATTCTGTTCAAAATAGCCTCATAGATTAAAGTATTAGTTTGTGAATTTGATTTGGTGACATAGTAATTGAGAATTCAATCCCTGGGCAAGGTAGTTCAGACTTTGACTCAGTAGAGCAATGCTAAATAAGAACTAGACAAGATATCCCTAAACATGGTCAATAGAATGAGAACAATTTACAGCCATAAAATAGTGTTCATTTCAAAATTCCCTGAAGGTTTACCAACTCAACAAGCACCCAACAGGTCAAAATGTTGTGATGAGGACAATAGTCCAAGTATAAATATTGGGAAGATAAGTTTTTGAACTTTTTATTTTATTTGTTTATTATTAATGCGTTATTTCTTAATATTTAGGTTTTTACTTACAAAGGCTGCTTGCCTTAAAAATGTTATCCTTGAGGTATACCCCGGTCAACGTTTTTTTTTTTTTTTTTTTGTAAAACACAATCTTTATTATATATTGTAAAAGACATCAGAAGATAAATGAAGCAATTGGTATAAAATTATTTAAGTCAAGTCTCGCTCTTATCCTTTTTGAAAAAGGCAAAAGCATGTTAGCTGTCTTTTAAAGACAATTCCAACATGGAATTACTACTGCTTTCACCTAGCTCAGCTTAAATTACTATTACTTCAATACAATTTAGTACATTTGGTTTTTGATTGATATGTTACCTAAGAGAACTAGAAGTCCTACCAGGATTTATTATTGGTGGGCATAATCATAACAACATAAGATATGCAGATGACACTATGTTGATAACAGAAAAGAAACTGCAGGAACTCCCAGACAAGTTAGCAAAGGAAAGTGAGAAGAAAGGACTAAACACCAATTGTAAGAAGACAATGTACAGTTATCAGTAAGAGGGACAGCCTAAGATGTGAACTAAAAATTGGAGACATCAAAATCAAGCAAGTACAGAAAGTTAACAGTCTGGAAACTATTATAACTGATGATAGACAATGTAATGCAGGAATCCGAAGGTACTTTGGAACAGCAAAAGCTGCTTTCCAAAATCTAAAAATATTAAGAAACTGGAAAATTTCATTATAGAAACAAAAGTGCTGAACAGCTTTATAATATCAATCCTCCTTTTATGTAAAGGAATGCTGGAATTACCTCACAGATGAAGAGGGACCTTAATGCAACAGATGTGGTTCTATAGAAATATGCTAAGAATACCATGGACAAAACATGTGAGCATTACAAAAGTGATAATGAGTATTCGTTGACATCATAAAAGTGGCAACAAGTGTTCGTTGAATCATTATTATATATATATATATATATATATATATATATATATAGAGGCCTATTTGCTAGAGGCATTGAATATTTGGGGTTTTGTTTTTATTTTTTATTTTTTTTTTTGGCTGGCAAATGCTTTTTTTTGGAAGCTTTACCAATAGTTTGATTTGTTATCTGTGTGTGTGTGTGTGTATATATATATATATATATATGATTTTAGTCTGTATCAACATTATTTGAGGCAAGAGATGTCATGGTAGAAAATGGAATTGGTGAACTGAATTTTAATTTCAGTTATCTTTTCACATTATACTGATGCCTGAGAAACTTAGGAACCCATTTTTGTATATATATATATGTGTGTGTGTGTGTATTCATTTATTATTAGGATTTTTCCTCTTTTCCAGCTGATTTCAGGTAAATTTTTTTTCATGTACAAAGTCTTAAAGGTTATAGATTTGTTTTGCTTATATACTTATTGAGCTCTTGCTATTGGCTTGCTTTTCCATATTCAATAATATGAAACATAAAGGAATTAGAACATATAATATCAGCAAATCCTGTTAGTAAACAGTGTGGAAACAATCAGAAATATTTCAGAGCAAAATCATAGCAAGAAGACATTACTCCAAATCCTCACAGCATTGTTAGTGCAAAAAAGCAGAATATGAAAATTAAACAAATTCCTCACAAAATGGGGACTCCATCCTCCTTGGAATGAAACCTGAAATGCACACAATCAAAATTGTCAATGCTTTGAAACTACCACATTGTAATTCAGTGAGTTAGCAAAATATTGGCAGGACGTTGTATCACAATGTGAAGACAGCCTTAGTACAAATACATATGTATGGGCAAAGATAAGTTTCCTTGTTCTCACAAGCAGTGATCCATAGCTGTCAGAATACTGACTCTCACTATTTTGTTCACTGAGGGAGGTGCTGCTGCAAAGTTGGAATCACCGGAACCAAGCTTATACCATGTTCTGCCTGAAGAACATAACCTTGAGGAGAGCAACAAATACTCCTCTCTGATTCCAGTCTGACCAGAGAGTCATGTCCGAATCCAGCAGTAATATCACTTGTTAACTTAAGCAGTCTGTTTTCAAAAAAAGATGGTAGAGGAAGACAGATGGCTTTAATCTATTTCTAATTACACAATCAACCACACACGTTAAATATTACAATCATTACATGAGCCACTTCTTTGTGGAACCAATTCCCAATAGGATGCTTCCCCCAATCACTAAAATCTTGTTCAAGTCTAGGCTTAACTGTTACCTTTCCACATATCCCTATAAATTGCACCTCTTACTCTTTAACTCTCTACCTCGAGTGGCTCTTGAGCCTTGTACAGGTTAAAAAAAAAATTTGAGCCACACGCTAAACCAAATCATATTCCCTAATACTTTTTACAAACAAAATTTATAATGGAATTTCTTTTTAGAAATCTCTGGAATTTGGTATAATTCAACATTTCTGTAACATGATTCCCCCTTCTTCATTATGATAAAACTTATAGATTGGGTTATAAGCAAAACTAAACCAATATTAACTGATTTTAGTGAAAAATTCACCTTATAAGATGGTTGAAGAGTAGATTAGCTAAAATGTGAAGAAAAATTTTCTAAAAATAAAAGGAGAAAAAAAAATTAACAAAATACATGCAGATATCTGATATTTTCTAATTTTAGTGGATTGCTGTTATGAAAGTCAAATTTAAAAGATTTTGAAAAAAAATCTGATGCTGTTTTAACCAATAAAATCAGGTAGTTTGAGATAAACACTTCAGAAAGCATCAAATTATTTGTCTGTAAACATTCTCTTAAAATGGTAAATGTAGAAGTCTGTGCCACTCTTGTATCAAGCATTAAAATTCAGTTAAGTACAGTTAGAAATTCCAAGCAAAACAGTTTTTTCCCCCCTAATAATAACTTTTTTTTTTTCTTCTTTTTTTTTTTTTTTTTAAAAAAAAGAAAAATGGCTGTATTTAGATACAGGTAATAGCGTGTAGGTCTTTCAGGAAAGTAATAAGAATTGAAGTCAGTGAAAAGCAGTTTACATGTGTGACTAATTTCCATGTTTGAAAACAAATGCAGAGTTGGACTTGTAGTAAAATCAATAAGACTTCAGTTTTAATGTAATTATTGTCTTGAGTTTCTATGGTAAAAAAATGTTTTTTTCATACAAATATATATCGCAGAATATCTGATAAATATAATTCTTCTTGTTCCTTAGTTATCACATATGTTATGCCCTGTCATTATATAATAGACTTTTTTTTATTGCAAGGAAAGATGGGGGAAAAAAGATATGTTTGGTTTTAGTGTAAGAAAGAAAAAGGAATATAGATGACACAATAGCACTCTCATGCATTTAAAGTCTGCTTCAGTGAAATGCAAAACTTTACCAATTTTTTATCTTTTCATTTGTATCCTCTTCTTAATGCAATATATTGTTACAGAGCTGAGTTTAAATTCCAGTTGTGTTTGTTACAGTCACTTATGTGTTATAAAACCCTCACAAGTTTCACTCATGAATAGATATGCACCTTTCGTCAGGACATGCACAACTGGT